TGGGGAATTCTGGGAGTTGAAGTCCCCCCATCTTAAAGTTGCCAAGGTTGAGAAACACTGCCTTAGTGGGTGGTTCCACTCTAACAGACCCTTAACTGGCTGTGTTTCCTCTCTGATTGTAGCCACCAGGCTGAGCTAGCCTTGCAGGAAGCCATCCGGATTGCCCAGGAATCTAACGATCATGTCTGCCTGCAGCACTGTTTGGTAAGCTGGCGGAGACTTCGTAGCAGAAGGACTAAGATCCTTCTCAGCACCGTTCTGTTCCAGTGCTTTGAGTCTAGATTGCAGCTGCCATGAGCCTGAGGATCACGTAGGCCAAATGTGCAAGTTTTGATCTAGCTTTAAAAAGAAAAAAGTTTCTTGGAATCGTTTCTTTTTTAGCTATAGCAAGTCTGACAACATGCAAGGATGCTTCTGCTGAATCTGGAATTCCTAACACGGGGCAGATCCCGGGGTGTCCATGGAGACCAGAAGTCCCCTAGGCACCTCCCTTTGTGCCTCCTGTCCTTATTAAATAAAACGAAACAGGAAGGCAAAGTACTGGCCTCTACCATGGTCTTTATTTGCAGCAATGCCTTTGGGCTCCATGGAGGCATGGAATGGTAAAGAGTATCTTGGGGGCTTCTGGAAACAGGAATCTTGTGACTGGCTCTGCCCACCGTGGCAGCACTGTGTGACTAGGAAGTCTTCTGGGACAGACGTTTTGTGAGAGCACCACCTCATGCTCTCCAAATTCCAGATCTGATCCCCCGAGAAAACATTGCCTGCCTCAGCCCTGGTGCCTTGAGCAAAGAAACGAACAGCAAAAGTCTGTGTGTGTCCACTGTGAAGCAAGAGTTGGATAGGGACTTATTCCCACGTAAGTGTGTCTAGGCTAGTCCCACCTTTGCCTTCAGAGTTGTATTGAGTTTTCTGAGCATACCTGGTTTTCTTATTGAAAATAAGTTAGCCATCTCCTTTTTAACAGGGCTTTGCATGGCAGAGAGTAGGAATCCACAAGTCATAGGAATTGCTGGCCTGAATTGGGTACTGTTCATTTCCTTGTGAAAGCACCCACATCAACCGCTGCTAAGCGGTATGACTTTCGTTTTCAGAACTCATTGATCTGCAGCCTTCGTACGTCCATTCTTAACGCGAGGTGAATTTTGCTTCCATGTAGGTCCTGGAGGGCTTTATAAAAGAGGCTCTTCTGTGGTTTTCCTTGTACAGCTGTGAGCAGAAGTAACTCCTCAGTACTCAGTAGCAATTCTGTTGTCTCCTGTCACTTTTTCACCAGAGCTGGCTGCACATCTTGGAACAGAAAAGATCAGATAGCTGCATACTCCTAGAACACTCTGTGAAAAAAGCTGTGTATTTTGGATTACCAGTATGTGTCAATTTCTTGGTCAATTTTTTTCTTTTTTAAAAAAGTCACTTTTCCCCTACTTGTCTCTTGTTTCTCTTGGTGGGTTAGTAACAACTTCCTCTTTTAAAACACCCTCTTTCTGCTTTCCTAGTATTTAGCTTCCCTGGGGATCCAGTCCTTGGTTCAGCAAAGAGCTTTGGCGGGGAAGGCAGCCAACAAGCTAATGGATGCTCTGAAGGACTCAGACCTCTTACACTGGAAACACAGCTTGTCCGAACTTATTGATATTAGCATCGCCCAGAAGACGGCCATTTGGAGGTTGTATGGGCGCAGGTATGTCCAGCATTGGTCAGTGCCGAAGGGCTGAGTGTGCGTAGGAATTTTTTGGAAGCTCAGAAAATCTGCCGATGTGAAATTGTCAGGAAGCCAAATTCGGGGTTATTAATTAAATTCGTCCTAATTAAAATTAAGAGTGCGAAAGTACATCTTGAGGCATTCACTGTAATCTAGCAAATCAGAGGAGCTGAAAAAGACCTAGCAGGGCTGGAACACCTTCCCACTGACCTGCAAACAAAGAAAAAAGTACAGAATAAATTGCACCCATTTACATAATGGCTACCGCAAGATTGAGCTCTTGAATGGCACAGATCTTTTTTCAAGGTACTGAGAGCATCTGTTCAGAATGGAATAAAAAGAATGGGCCAGAGGCCAAGCCTGTTGTTTGGTGCCCATCGGTAGCCTGCTTCTTTTTCTTGCCGTAGCACAATGGCACTCCAGCAGGCCCAGATGCTCTTAAGCATGAACAGCCTAGAGGCCGTGAATGTGGGCGTTCAGCAGAACAACACCGAGTCCTTTGCCGTGGTGCTGTGCCACTTGGCTGAGTTGCATGCAGAGCAGGTGGGTGGTACGTTTTGGTGTGCTGCGATTCCACGCGATCATCTCGCTTTATACTTGTGGTAGTCCTGGCATGCTCCTTCTGTCAGGCTGAAGAAGACAGTCGCTTGTCTGGGAAATAATCTTGAGTCCCACCCCATCTGTCTCATCCTGATAGACCCCCGCTCTCCCAGCAACCCTGCTGCTGTACCCACCACTCAGTCATTCTAGAGACTGAATAGAGCCTGCATAGAAAATGTTCCAGGCCAAAAGTCATTGGAGCTCTTGGTCTCCTCTGGGAAGAAACAGGTTTGCAAATGCAAATAGCAAACCAGGGGGAGGTCTCCTCTTCAAGGCAGGTAGCGTATTTCTGGTGTTTTCTGGCTGTGGGTCACTTGTGGGTCACATCTCACATTTCAGTGCTCCTTCCATTGACTGCAACTTGTTTCCAGCCACACACATACATGTATTATGCCCCATGTATTATCCTTGGAAACGTTTCCCCTGTGGAAAATATTCCACTTCTCTGGTGTTTGTACCACTTCTCCTTGGGCGAAGCTGTTTCTGTGCCCATTTCTGCATCTGACAAAGTGATATATGGCACCCTAAAACAGAGCAACATCTTAAAAGAGAATGAGACTTTTGAAAGTATTTAAAGCAGCCTTTTTTCAGGTGTTAGTATTTTATTGTAAGCCACCTAGAGCCACTAACTAACTAGCTAGCTAGCTAGCTAGCTACATTGAATGAATGAATGAATGAATGAATGAATGAATGAATGAATGAATGAATGAATGAACGCACGCACGCACGCACGCACGCACGCACTTTCTCTTACTGTATAGTTTTTGTTTTTGAGACTAGGGCATGAAGGCCTCTTAGCTTGAGTGCCAGTTTCTATTCTGTTCATTCCAATTTCCCTTTTTCTACATCAGGGTTATTTCACAGCCGCCTCTGAGATACTGAAGCATCTTAAAGAGAGATTTCCCATCAACAGTCAGCATGCCCAGGTGAGTTTCAGCAGTAAACTCTGGGAGCAGGTGCTTTCTGACCATTATTTCTTTATGTGTTTGCTTGCAAAATCCTGTAAACATGCTAATTCAAAGCTGAATTATTAACCATGTGCTGGCTGTTTGTTTCCAGAAGTACTTCTGAATGGCGCCAGGTCTGGATTTCTCTCTTCCCATAAAAAAGATAATGTTGAAGGGAGGCATAGCAGCCTTTAAAAAGTCAAGTCTGAAGACAAACAATATTAATGTGTTGATGTATAAACCAGGCTGTTGTAACCTGCTACTTTCTGGATGCGTCAGACTGCAAATCTCATAATCCCAAGGCACATTGGTCCATTGCAGAAATTGGGAACGATGGAAACTGGAGTCCTGACACATCTGGGGTGCCATATATATTGGGGCAAGCTGGGTATACAACAATACGTGATGGATGTGCAAGCTTCACAAATACGTAAGAATCCAGTTCTTTCTAAGTCTAGACTCCTGTCCAATCCTCTTCCGCAGCTCTGGATGTTGTTTGATCAGAAAATCCAGTTTGATCGAGCCATGAACGATGGCAGGTATCACGTTGCCGACTCGCTGGTGTCTGGAATTACTGCTCTGAACAGCTGCGAGGGGGTTTACAGGTGAGAGATCACCAAATGGCAAAAAAAAAAGGGGGGGGTGCTTTTGATGCCTCATTGCAACAGGATTAAAATGTGTCTGGGATAAAAGTGCTGCATTGTTTTGCATGGAGCTGTTCCTAATATACAGTACAGAGATGCGTCCTATAGCTGATATATAGTTAAAATGTTCAGCTAGGATCCAGGTTCAGATCCCCTAATTAGTCACAGAGTAACTGAATGACCTTGGCCTAGTCAGTCTTTCTAGCTCCAACCTACCACACAAGGCTGTTGTGAGGATAAAGTAAAGGGAGACCCTATCCACTACCTTGAGCTCTCAGAAACAAGTCAAAATAAAAATGCAATCATAAACGGACCAAAAGTGAAAACAATTTTGTAACGTTCTACCTCCTGAATTGTGGAACGCCTCCTCCATTTCTTGCTTGCGTGCAGACTGATTTTCTCTTGGGTGGGGGCGTTCATCAAGTCCCTGGGGGCTTGAACAAGATGGCACATTGACTGGGCAGTTAATACCTTTTCTGCGTGTCTCCATTGCGGTTTTGTCTTTTAGGAAAACTACTTTGCTTAAAGCACAGAATCAAATGTCCAAGGCACACAAACTTCTTGAGAAGCTCTTGATCCACTGCCGTAAAATAAAGAATACGGAGATGGTGATCAGGTAAGGCGCTGGGCGATTGTTTCCTTCAAAGGGTGGCATTTTTTGGGTTGTCTTCTAAGATGGGTGTGGAGGAAGAGTCCAGTCTTTCTGGCTCTCCTTGTGCTTTCTTCAATGCTTGAGGATAGTAGAGAAGGGCGAAACGTTTGCACGAGGGTTGCGTTGATTCCAGAGTGGTGAAAACGGAGACACCTTGCACAAATCTTTGCACGAAGCAGAAGAGTTGATACCCTTTAAAGTTTTGAAAGCCTTGCTATCCAACGGGAGCATGCTGTGCCACAGAGGGCTGCTTCATCTCTGCTTCCACCTGTGGTCAGACACCAGAGGATGTGCTCACTTCACTATTTCTCAACCTTGGCAACTTTAGGATGTGTGGATGTCAGCTCCCATGCTGGCTGGGGAATTCTGGGAGCTGAAGTCCACACGTCCTAAAGTTGCCAAGGTTGGGAAACACTGGCTTGCTTATTTATTTATAACTCATATTTGTAAGGCCACCCGACTCCAGACAACACCGGGGCGGCCAACCACAAAAAAACCAAGTATGTAAACAATGATTCCAAGAACGTGCAGTGGTTAACCTGAACCTCAAGAGGCAGTGCTTAAAAGGATCCTGGGGACAAAGAGGGATGAGGAGCGAGCTGTTTGTTTCTAGGACTTTTAATTCCTTTCCTCAGCTGTATGTTCTCCCATCTCTTGGGGTTTAGCGTACTGCTGTCCACCGCCGAGCTGTACTGGCAGTCTCTGTGCCACACGATCGCTTTGCCCATCCTGCTTCAGGCCCTGGCCCTGGCCCGGGAATACCGTCTCCAGTATCTGGCTTCGGAAACCATTCTCAATTTGGCTTTTGCCCAGGTACAGCTTTGCTCCTTTTTCAGTTTCTCGGTCTGCCATAAGAGGACAGAACCCTTTCTACAAAGCTGACAGCCCGCCCCCACAAACACCCCCATGGATTGGGTGAAACTGGTTGTATACTGAGTAAACTGCAACTGGCTGGCATCACATAATGCTAAACCATAAACCATGCTTTATAAACTACAAATAAACCCCACTTTGGTTTCATGCAGTATTTACTGTCAGTTGCATACTGGCACACAGCGTGTGGTCCCCCCGCCACCTGCATGGTCAAATCCTTGTAGAATAGGTTGGTCCCATGGGAGCTGGCTAGCCCAGAGATAGAATTGAGGAAGTGACCATCTTGCAACACAATTGCCTTCGTGTTTTCTTCCTTTCCAGCTAATCCTTGGGATTCCCGAACAAGCTCTGAGCATCCTACATATGGCCATAGAGCCCATCCTGGCACATGGGGCTGTGTTGGACAAAGGAGCTGCCATGTTTTTGGTTGCCAAGTGCCAGGTTGCTTCTGCAGCCTCTTATGCCCCCCCAAAGAAGGCCGAAGGTAGTTCTCCACACTGTAAATCTCCTTAGAATTCTGGAAACTCTCAGTGCGACATCGCAGTTGCTATAAACAATAAATGGCAGACTTAAACAGGAGTTTCCTCTGATGTGGCTCCCTGACAGCAGGTATTCAGAGCACCCCGCCTGTGGTTTCAGAAAGAGCAAACAGTCATCAAGATGAGTAGCCGTTGCCAACCCCTCCCTGAATTTCCCTATCCCCCCCCCCTTTTTTTGTGCCTTCAAGTCAGTGTTGACTCCTAGCAACTGCCTGGACTAGTCCCTGCAGTTTTCTTGGCAGTTTTTCAGAAGTGGTTTGCCATTGCCTCCTTCCTAGGGCTGAGGGGGAGGGACTGGGCCAAGATCACCCAACTGGCTTTGTGTCTAAAGTAAGACTAGAACTCACAGTCTTCCGGTTTCTAGCCTGGTGCCTTTAACCACTACATCAAACTGGCTCTCGTTCCCCTTTTAATATTCTCTAACTTGGAAGCCATCGCCCTTTCTGATGGCTGCAAATGCAGTTACATGCTGTGCAAAAGAAGTCCTCCCTCTCTCTGCAGTTATCTTCCGTAGAGGAGCCTGCATGCTAACGTCGTGAGAGAGGGTTCTTTTTTAGTGCAAAATCCCACAGTCTTTGGCTGGGTGGTGGGTATCTGCTGAAATATGCATTTTGAAAGGGGAAGGATCTTGTTTAAAAACTCTGATTCCCGCCCCCCCCCCCGCCTTTTTCTCCAGCTCTGGAAGCAGCTATCCTGAACCTGAATGAAGCAAAAACCTATTTTGCGAAAGTGGACTGTAAAGAACAACTCCGGGACGTCCTTTATCTGCAAGCCAGGCTCTTCCACAGCCTGGGTAAGACCCAAGAGAGAAACCAATGTGCCATGCTCTTCCGGCAGCTTCATCAGGAATTCCCTGCCCGTGGGGTCCCCCTGATCAGTACTTTTAAATGAGGCCTCTGAGCAGAGGGATCCAGTCCTTTGAGAAGGCCACCCGAGCCACTGAAAAGGAATGAGATCTGCACAAGAGCCCCTGTTCAGGAGCTCTGCAGTTCCTCCTCTCTTCCTCCTCTCGTTTTCATGTGTCTCTTACTCTGTGTAACGTTCAGTCTCTGGAAATACCAATAAATTAGTGTGTGGGTGCCTAGAGGTGTGTGTGTTCTGGGAGGGGGGGAAGGGGCATGTGGTCAGTTTCAGATGCCCTTGACACTTGATTGGTCTTTTTGCTGATTGAGGCAAACTGACCCATCCTGGTTGAAGTCAGCTTCGCTGGCACAAAAGACACAACGTGCCGCAGACTCACAGGCAGTCTTTGCCAATCGCGAACCATTGTATGGAAATGCAGGCCTTTTGTGTCCATTAGAACTTCCCCTTTTATAAGCTGGTACCGTTTGCTCATTAGTTTGGGGTTGATCAACTTTGAAACAACACCTTGTTTGAAGCAGGAGGATGTACAGGCGGTGGAAAAGCAAACACCTAAGTTGCTGTAGTCCTCTCTCTTGTCTGAATTCAGAGAGAAGTTTTTTTCAAGTCAGGAATCTTGGTTTGCATTTGCCCCCTTGTATATTTGGAGGCATAATCTGCATTATAGTGGCTTGTTTGCACACAGAAACACATTTAGATGGAACTCCGGCACTATTTTAGGAGGAATGTAATGGGGACCACTTTCAGAGTTTAGTTCTGCTAATGTTGATTTCCACTCAGCTGTCTTCCTTTTCAAAGTACTGTGGATGTTGGCAGGTCACACTGAGTTTTCAAACCTGAACATACATCTGTGTCCCAAAGTCTATTGGAGATAGATTTGCTTTCCAAATTAGAAGCTTTTACCAACTCGGGCAGCGTGTTCCTCCTACCCTTCTTGCATTATTGAAACCTCTCTGATGGAAAAATCCTTTAGTTGTAATCTGGATGCTGAAGACCAGCTCTTAGCATAAGTAAAAGTGATGTCAATCTGTTGCAAAGTTTTCTTGCTTAAAAGTAGCATTACCACAGTAGCTTTGAGTGGCTAAGAGTCAATATATCTGGATGGAGGAACTTTTAAAATCTTGGCAAGGCCTGGATTATGACAGACCAGTTGCAGGAAATGATGAAGCGTTTCATTGGCTGTGTCAACTCTGTAGATTGTACTGGCGAGGGGGAAGTGGCGGGAGGAGAAGGAACACACAGAATTGCCTCATTTAGGTAAAGTATAGCATCAGGCTATAATCCTAAATACATTTGGGCATAAATATGTAAATGCCAAGGGGATGTGGTGTAAAATTGAGTTGAGATCACCATCATGAGTTTCTTGAGCAAGTCAATAACTGCCTGGCTTCACTAGACCAAAACCATACCAACCACGTTATGACTAAGGGCGATGCTTAATAATGATCATCTCTGTAATGTTATGGTCCTGTTAGGGGAACTGAGAAATCTGTGCACACTTAAGACTGAGAAGTGGGAATATTGTACTAACAGGGTTCCACCTCACCTGGTGGTGGTAGGAAGTTGGGAGTTAATGTCTGAGGAAGATTGGTGACTGCCTTGAACCAGGTTGGATTATTGGTTCCTCTGTTTTGTGGTGCGTTCGGACAGGCTAGGGCAGGACTCAGACCAAGGTCTTGGTCCCCATCTTGAACCCGAGGCCCCATTTCAATGTGAGATGCTAGAAATGGATTTTGGGACCTTCTATGAGATCAGAACGTGAACGGGGTCCTTTCCCAGAATAGAGCGGTGAATACGCAACCATATGTTTGACCACTTCCTTTCATGCACCCCAATCTTTCTGGGGCTCCTTTCCCCACGTCCTCTGTGGGGGCCAAGAGCAGCCTACCTCACAGGGGTGTTTGCAAAGAAGCCAAGGCAAGGAGGCTTTGATGCCGCCAACATTGTCCTTGTCAAAGTTTGTGCTTTAATGTTCTTTCCCGGCCCCAATCGGTGTAGTCCGTTCGTGCAACCTTACTTAAGGGAAGCGATGGAAGAAAAGTTCTCTCTGCCTGGATGGCTTTTCTGCTTAACAGCAAACGGTGAATGCCAGAAAAAAAGAGGGGGGGGGAGAAGGGGGGAAGAGATTTGGGAGGCGGCCTGATAACAGCCCCCTCCCCCCCATCTGCACCAATCAGAACCGCTCTTGGCAGCCCAGTTTAACCAATCAGCGACCAGCTGCTTGAAGCCGACTCTCACTTTCTGGACAGGAAAAGCTCCGGGCGCAGCCAATCGGGGTACAGCTGCCAGCATCTGGGGCGTCCGTAATGCAATGGAGACCTTCCTAGACAGGCTGCGGGAACAGCTTTGGCCGTAGCTGCCTCTCCTGCCAGTCGGAGCTACAGGCAGGTAGGCTCTGGGGGTGGCGGAGGAGGAGGAGGAGTGAGGATGGCTTTTCTTGCAGCTGCAGTGCATCTTTCCCCTTCTTCCCCTGCATACTTTCTTCATGGGAGGGGGTGGATTAGGCTGGGAGGGGTTTTAAAGGGAGGGCTGGGCTGCTGGCCTCAGCTGGGGGCTCTGGGAAGGGGAGAGATGAATGTGCTTCTAAGTCTAACCCACAAGTGTCTGGACTTCTCGGTGGAGGGTGGCGGTGCTGTGTCCGTCTGGATGTCGAAAACTGAAAAGGCACGGGGCACAGATGGTCACCCTTGTGACATCTGTCTGAGGAAACCAGAGGGGGCTGAGTGAGAGCTAGAAAGGGGTCCGCTGGAGGAAGGGATCCACCGGCAGGAGGACTCTCCTGTTCTGGGAAAAAGAACCAGAGCCCCCTGGAATGCCGTCCATGTTCTTTTTCGTTGCCATAGAGCAAACCTCCAGGAGGAGGGAAGAACGGATGCTCAAGATCTTTATTTGGGGTTTGCAGGACCAGGCTGTGTTTTCAAAGTTTTTTGGGGGGGTTGAACCATCGGTACGTGCAGAGCCTTCAGGGCACGGCTGGGCAGGAGGGAACCCAGCGAAGGAGTCCTGATCGGGGCCGTGGGTGGTCCTGCTGGTCTTTCGGTGCAGAGGTGAAGTCTGGCTGGTGGGGTAGGGCGGACCAAGGATTTGCCGTGGGCTTTCCCGAGGGCGAAATCCATGGGAAAAGAACTTGGATTCTTTTTGGCTGGTGGTGGGGAGGTGGTTCTGGTCCCATGAATTGAACGTGTTTGTTGTCTCAAAGGACCTGGGAGTGATTGTGTCTTGCCAGGTACGCTAGAAGGAATAATCAAAGGTTCCTTTAATCCTTGGTGGACAAACAAGCACAGAGCTAACAAAAGCCTGGATTGGGTGTGGGTTGAGGTTGCCAGCTCTTTGACCAGCTCGTGTAACTGCACCTTTTGAAAACTCTTTAGCGTTGCGTTTCTCAACCTGGGCCGCTTGAAGATGTCTGGACTTCAGCTCCCAGGCTGGGGAATTCTGGGAGCTGAAGTCCAGACATCTTCAAG